GGAGGAGGAGGAGGAGGAGGAGGGAGGAGGAGGAGGAGGAGGAAGAGGAGATGTCAGTGGAAGGGGAAGAAGAGGAAGGAGATGTTGATGGAGGAGGGGAGGAGGAGGAGGAGGAGGAGGAGGAGGAGGAGGAGGAGGAGGAAGGAGGATGAAGAGGAGGAGGAGGAGGAGAACAAAGAGGAAGAGGAATACAAGGAGGAAGAAGAGGAGAAATGTTGAGAGAAGAGACGAGAAACTGAGGAAGAGGGAAGAGAACGAAAAGGAGGAGGAGAAAGAATAGAAAAAGAAATAAGAATAGAGAGAGAGAGAGAGAGAGAGAGAGAGAGAGAGAGAGAGAGAGAGAGAGAACGCAGAGAATGGAGAGAAGAGTCAAGGGAGGGAGAAAATAGATAAGAGGGAGATAAGATGCTAAAGTGAAAGGGAGAGAGGGAAGTGAAGTGAGGGAAGTGAAGTGAGGAAGTGAAGGGAGGAAGGGAGGGATAATGAGACTCTTACAGCTCAAAAGGATTAGCGAAGCCAATCGTCTCTCTAATGATTAATTATATACAGTTATTATTATTATTATTATTATTATATCTCTTACAACTAATAAATTTATTTGACGAATGTAACTACAATGAGAGAGAGAGAGAGAGGGGGATATACCTACGCTATATCCGGGTGGTGTACAATTAAAGCGTCAAATGAAAAAGGCAAGTCGATTGATTCCAGTTTGTAATCCAGATATAACTTTTAAAGACGGGTTATACACACCACTCACCGATACAGTGATGGAGGGAGGTAGAGGAGGGAGGGAGGGAAGAGGGAGGGAGGGAGGGAGGAGGGAGGGAGGGAGGGAGGGAGGGAGGGAGGAAGGATTTAGGAGAGGGAGATGGAGGAGGAGGTTTGTTTATATTGGAAAACTGCACCTCATCTCCCTCCTTTCTCCTCCTCCTCCTCTCTTCTTTGGGGAGGGTGGAAGGGGTAGGAAGGAAGGAAGGAAGGAAGGAAGGAAGGAAGGAAGGAAGGAGGGGGTAGTGGTTCCGTATCAACAAACCTTCTCCTCCCTCCTCCCTTCCTCCTTCCCTCACTCCCACATTTGCCTCGGCTAACACGCTCCCTTCTCTCCTCAAACACACGCCACACACTGCTAATTGAGATCCTCACCTTGTTTTAATCTCCTACAATGTGTGTGTGTGTGTGTGTGTGTGTGTGTGTGTGTGTGTGTGTGTGTTTTCTCCTATTCGTATTTTTTTTGTTTAATATTTTTGTGTGTGAGAGAGAGAGAGAGAGAGAGAGAGAGACGGTACTTAATTACGTGTCCGCTATTTTTCTTCTTCGGAAACAAAAAAAACCGGGAACAGAGAACAATAATTTTCTTCAGAAGGCATTAAAACTTTCTTCCTGGTTTCTGAGACCATTAAACAAATCTTTAAAACATAAATAAAAAAAAAACATATTTTCCTTTCCCTTTAAAAAAAAAGTATTTATTCCCATTACGAAAAAAAGGTATTGTAATATGTTTTTTTTTTTTCATACACCAATAATGTGTTTCAGGATACGAGTAAAATAATAATTTTTTGTTAGTATTTGTCAATATATTGGTAATGAGGTGGAACTGTTAATAATAATAATACCTGTATATGTATTATTATTAGTAGTAGTAGTAGCATCATTCAACACCACCACTTTCACCACTACCACTTTCACCACCACCACTATCATCACCACCACTATCATCATCACTACTATCACCACCACCACCACTATCACCGCCACCATAGTTACATGAATAATCCCATATAGCATCAATACCAAGGTGGCATAAGGTCCATTATCTCATAACACTCAGCTCAAAAGTACCCGGCACTACACTCGACCATCTTCACTCCCAAACTTGTACAGTCAGGTACCCATTTACAGCTGGGTGGAGTAGGAGTGCCCCGGGGTCGAACCAACAGCCTTTAACACAGAAGGCGAGCACGGTATCCATTCCGCCACCGCTCCTGAACCATATGAAATTGATATTAGCTGTAAAAATGTCTTGTGTGTTTGTTTGACATCCTGACAAGCTGACATCCTGACAAGCTCGCATCCAAACACGCTGACATCCATACATGTTCACATCCAGACAAACTCACATCCTGACAAGCTGACATCCTGACAATCTCGCATCCAAACACGCTGACATCCATACATGTTCACATCCAGACAAACTCACATCCTGACAAGCTGACATCCAGACAAATTCACATCCTCACAAGCTAACATCCTGATAAACTGACATCCAGACAAGCAGAAATCTTGACAAGCTGACAACCAAACAAGTTCTCCCGGTAGCTGACATTTTAACAAGAGGTCAAGTGGGCTGACGTTTTAGATACGAGTTGCTGATACTTCGAACATGCCAACCTCTGAGCTGACGGATCCTGACTAGGCCGCCTCCCCTATTAGAGTGTCAGCACGAGGGAGTCAGGGAGGGATTACGTCCAGGGGATTATTTTTAGGGGAATTATGTCCAGAAGGATTTAGTCGAGGGGGATTTATATCCAGGGGGATTATGTCTAGGGGGATTGTGTCCAGGTGGATTATGTCTGCGGGATTATGTCCAGGGGAGATTATGTCCAGGGGGATTATGTCTAAGAGATTATGTCCAGGGGAGATTATGTCTAGGGGGATTCTCGCTAGGGGGATTATACCCTTAGTAATTACTGTATGTCTATTATGTCCAGGGATATTGTGTCCAGAGGGATTATGTCCAGGGATGTTGTGTCCAGAGGGATTATGTCCAGGGTTATAATGCCTAGAGGGATTATGTCCAGGAAGGATTTAGTCCATAGGAGATTTTTGTAAAATTCAGCGCACCATCTGAGTGTCACAGGTGGTGCTGAAAGATGGCGTAGGAGGCTGAACCATCTGGGAGAGGGAGACACCTGGGGAGAGAGGGAGGGAGATAACCATTGGGGGAGGGAGGGAGAGATAACCTGGGGGAGAGACCACCTGGGGGGAGACGGAGGGAGAGAACCACTGAGGGAGAGAGGGAGGGACAACCTGCAGGGAGAGACCACCTGGGGGGAGACGGAGGGAGAGAACCACTGAGGGAGAGAGGGAGGGACAACCTGAAGGGAGAGACCACCTGGGGGGAGACGGAGGGAGAGAACCACTGAGGGAGAGAGGGAGGGACAACCTGCAGGGAGAAGGAGTTCATACCAGGTCACCCTAAGCTGTTGAGGTTAAGTTAAGTTAGGTTAGGTTAGGTTAGCTTCAGTTAAATGAGATCAAGATTTCCGTAAAGTTAAGGTAACGTAGATTAAGTCCAGTTAAGATACAGTTAAGGCAATTTCAGTTAGGTAAGTTAGGTTTCGTTTCAGTTAAGATCAGTCAAATTTTAGCAGGTCAGGTCAGGTCAAGTCAGGTCAGGTCAAGTTAGGTTAGGTTAGGTTAAGGCAAAGTAGGGCGAAATATATTATGTTAGAATCAAGTTAAATCAGCCAAGTTAAGAGTACCTACAGTTAGCTCAGTTAGGGTAAGGTAACCTGGCCTAAGGTAGACTACATTAACTCCGGTTTCAATTAGGCGGAGTTAAGTTAGTCTTTAGTTAGGGTCAGTTAAGCTGGAACACGACAGCGTATACTAGTTAAGGTTTCAGTTAAGAGGACTATAGAAATCAGGTTAACATTCAGTTGAGATCAAATTGAGATTTATCAAGTTAGGTTAAGGTTAGGATAAGTGCTAATGCCTGCTAGGATAAGTTATTGGATAAGTGCTAATGCCTGCTAGGATAAGTGCCAGTTCGGATAAGTGCTAGTGCCTGCTAGGATAAGTGCCAGTTAGGATAAGTACCTGTGCCTGCTAGGATAAGTGCCAGTGCCTTTTAGGATAAGTGCCAGTGCATGCTAGGATAAGTGCTAATGCCTGCTAGGATAAGTGCCAGTTCGGATAAGTGCTAGTGCCTGCTAGGATAAGTGCCAGTTAGGATAAGCGCCCGTACCTGCTAGGATAAGTGCCAGTTAGGATAAGTACCAGTGCCTGTTAGGATAAGTGCCAGTGCCTGTTAGGATAAGTGTCAATGTCTGTTAGGATACGTACCAGTGCCTGTTAGATAAGTGCCAGTGCCTGTTAGGATAAGTGTCAATGTCTGTTAGGATACGTACCAGTGCCTGTTAGATAAGTACCAGTGCCTATTAGGATTAGTGCCAGTGCCTGTTATGATAAGTGCCAGTGCCTATTAGAATAAGTGTCAGTTAGGATAAGTTCCAGTGCCAGTTAGGAAAATTATTGTTAGTTAGGATAAGTGCCTGTTAGGATAGTGTCAGTCAGGATTAAGTGCCAGTTAGGACAAGTGCCACTGCCTGTTAGGATAAGTGTCAGTTACGATAAGTGCCTGTGAGGATAGTGCCAGTTAGGCTTAAGTGTCAGACTCCAGTAAGTGCCAGTTAGACTAAGTGCCTGTTAGGATAAGTGCCAGTTATACTAAGTGCCAGTTAGAAGAAGTGCCAGTTAGACTAAGTGCTTGTTAGAATAAGTGCCAGAGTCAGTTAAGATAAGTGCCAGTTAGAATAAGTGTCAGTTAGACTAAGTACCTATTAGGATAAGTGCCAGTTAATTCCTGTAGTAGAGTTTAAGTTAATATACCACGACTGGGTAAATTACAGGGGGTACAGGTAAACCTTTCAAACAGGACCGTTAACTCCTCAGGCGGCCACAAGAATAAAAATGCGTATTGAATATCATTACTTTATTAGCCAGTCAGTCAGTTAGTCAGCCATTCATTCAGTCGGTCGGTCAGTCAGTAAGTCAGGCAGTTAGTTAGTCACAGTTTAAAAAAATGACTATGTTGGAACCTTCAGTTTTGTAGTTACAGGAGTAATAAAAACTTTTGTCCATAGTATAAAAGCACAAAGTATTTTACCTGTCGCTTTTATAATGGGTGACTTTTGGTCGAGTTTCCGAAGATAAACAACAAACAAAAGACACTAATTACGTAAGCAAATGAGATAATTAAGGTGATTAACACTTACCTGCTGTTAGTGAGTGAACGATGATGGTATGGTCGTTTAAGGTCGATGTTTTTCTCTCTCTCTCTCTCTCTCTCTCTCTCTCTCTCTCTCTCTCTCTCTCTTTATTTTCTCTCTATCTCTCTTTTCTCTCAATTTTATGAATATTTTTATCGCCTCATACTACATTAAAGTGCTTGTGTACTTTTTGTGTGAGAGAGAAACAAAATTCGGTCACTTTTCACCTCAATATGCAAATTTCTCACTTAAATCTTGTTGCAATCAGCACTTCTAAATTCATTACAATTCTACGTTCACAATCTTTTTTTTTTTTACTTTTTATTTATTTTTTTTTTCAATCTATCTTTTTTTTCCTTCCTCTTCTTCTCGAGGGAAAGATTCTTATGGTCATAAATATATCACGTTGTTTGTGTTTTTCCTCACAACTTGGGTAAATTAATCACAAATTAACAACAATTTTCTGCTGTTACCTGGGCAAGAAGGGGGTAGTGAAGGGAGAGAGTGTATTGATGTGTGTAGGAATGTATGGTTGTTGATTTTTATCAGTTGCGTCTCGGGGTGAACAGTCGCTTAACCAGCTCACAAGCCACCGACGACTGTTGGCGATGCACTGTCTCAACGCCGACTTAGCCGAGCCGACCTGCACAGGCTCCACCACGCCGGCCGGGGGGTGTCCGGGGGTACTGGGGATTGGCTATCGGACAGGAGGGAGGAGGAGGGTCGCTGCCGGCCGTCGGGAAAACATATCGTACCTTCCTCCTCCTTCAGTAGAATCAGTACCATGAACTTTTGCCGATGGAGGGAGGGTTTCCTTCTTCTCCTTCTACCCTTTCTCCCCCTCTTCTTCTACCTCCTCCTCTTGATGTAGATCTCGTATCCTTCAGGTTCCTATGACTGTAGGAAGTATCTGTCAGGAGTGAGGGAGGGGAGGAGAGACAGAAGGGCGCTTTAATGGCGGTGATTTTCATCTGGTTGTCGTCGTTGTGTTGTGCTTCGCTTGTCGGAGGACCAGCAGCGAGGTGGTGGTGGTGGTGGTGGGTCCTCCTCCTCCTGTTCTACTTCATCTTTTCCTTCTCTTCTTTCTTCTCCTCCCTTTCCTCCTCTTCTTTCTCCTTTAGGTCCTCCCATTCCACACCACCTCTACCTTTTCCTTCCCCCCTCCTCTTCCTATTCCTTCCCCCCCTCCTCCTCTTCTTCTACCTCCTTCTCCTCCTCCTTCTTCCTTCTCCTCTTTCTCCACGTCCTCCTTTAGCTTCTCCTCTTCCTTCCCTTCCTCCTCTACCTCCCCCAGCTCCTCTTCCTCTTCTCCCCCACACATGTAAACAACCCACATATTATACAGTACACACACATAACACACACACACACACACACACACACACACACTCTCTCTCTCTCTCTCTCTCTCTCTCTCTCTCACACACACACACACACACACACTACATACAATAAGTTAAAAAAATTATATAAAATGAAACACAAAAGCAACAGAGAATGAAACAAGAAGCGACTTTCTGATAAACGATAAGAGAAGAGAAAAGTGCAATAAATATGGAAGAAGGAAAATGATAATAATGAAGAATAGATCTGTCTGCCTGTCTGTCTGTCTGTCTACGTCTATCTATCTATCTATCTATCTATCTATATGTCTGTCTATAGATAAGTGGATGGGTGGGTGGATGGATGAACGATGGATAGATAATCGGATGGACAAAGAAACAGATAGACAGACAGGCAGATAAACATACGGTGAGAAATACAGACAGACAGACAGACAGACGAACAGACAGACAGACAGACAGACATACAGACAGACAGACAGACAGACATACAGACAGACAGACATACAGACAGACAGACATACAGACAGACAGACAGACAGACAGACCAACAGACAAAGTTACAAAAATACTTACTCTTTTACAGAGTTACAACAAATGGCCGCTGTATCGCAAAAAGGAGTGAGAGAAAGGGGGGGTGAGGGAGGGAGTGAGAGAGAGGAGGGGAGGGAGAGGAAAGAGGGGGAAGGTTGAAGTTGCTGTGTGCGGGAGTGATAAGACACGTACACAAACACCCACCCACCCACACACACACACACACACACACACACACCTACTACTTACATACACTCCACATCTGGCTCCCCCACCCCCCACACACACACACACGCGCCAACAAGTGCAAATTAGAGAGCATTTTAACCTTGTATTCCATTGGTGCTGGCAGTCTCCTAGGCTATTCTCGCCCAAAATATAACATAAATGTTTTAATTAGCATTGTAAGCTGTATATAAAGGGTTCCCAGGTGAGTAGATTACCTGTACGACTTAATTACAGGTGTTTCTCGTGTTACTAAGGGTTATGATAATAGGAATCTCTCTCTCTCTCTCTCTCTCTCTCTCTCTCTCTCTCTCTCTCTCTCTCTTACTCTCTTTATCAAACACAAACATTTCATCTGCTTTCTCATTACTTATATTTCTCTTTCTCTCTTTTCCTTTCCCTCTTTCTCTTTCTCTCTCACTTTGTGTCTTACTTTACAACAGAAACATTGACCATCTTAGTTGCGTGATCCCGTGTTAACTCACTTTCACCCAAATCTGATACTTTCACTCACAATCAACATGGGAACCAGAAATAAACTTTCACCCCCAAAATCGGTTTAACTTTTGTTTTCCTGGTATAAAAAAATCTGGGTATTCGGGACACCTGAAGATAAGACACCCTAGCAGATTTTACTTGAAGATTAGGTTAGGTTAGGTTAGGTTAGGTTAGGTTAGGTTAGGTTAGGTTAGGTTAGGTTAGGTTAGGTTAGGTTAGGTTAGGTTAGGTTAGGTTAGGTTAAGGTTTTTAATTATCAGATGGAATAATCTGGGGGTGTCTAATCTTCATGTGGTCGGTATATTCGTACTAAAATGGCCCATTTCTTGTCTACCAAGGTATGAAAATTTTAATTAATATGATAAGCACTTTTTCCGGCAACTCTTAATTATTTTGAGTTACCTGTGTACTCTCATGATATCACTGCTTGACTAACTTTTTTATGGAACAGCTAAGTCGGCTCTTGCTTCGGAAAATTCTACTTTATTCGACACCTTTTCAAAAATATTCCAGCTAATTCGGCACCTTTTCAAAAATTCCTCCTTAATCAACATCATTTTTAGAAATTCCCCCCAAAAATTCCTCCCTTTTTTGAAATTTTTAACTAATAAAATAATTCTTCTTCGCCAAATTCCGTAAATTCCTGTTGAACCTTCCACCCTTACCTCCCCCCTCCACTCCCTTCCCTCATCACAGACACACATCCCTTCCCCAACAACCTCCTCCAACACACTCATCCACAACACACACCTTCTCTCTCATCCCATATCTATTTCCAATATCTCCCCATTCACCTGCCCAGTCCCTTAACCCCCACTTATAGCACCTGTGGGCTAACTAACTAAATTTGACACAAAGAATGTAATCAACAACAGGTGAGAGAGTTAACCCCAATACAGTTGACGTTAATTAAATTGTCGTCTTTAATTAACAGGTATTTTTTGAATATGTACTTGATGGCGAAGACACACACACACACACACACACACACACACACACACACACACACACACACACACACACACACACATACACACGAGCGCGCGGGCCCAGAGAACAAACTGACCATCTCCTCTGCGGTGATTGATAATTAATTGATGTGGTGGCCAGGTAAAGCACTGATTGAAGTCACTCACCTGGACGCTATATTGACACCTGTCCAACCTGGGGATGTTCTTGTGGTGATAGAGATATACGGATTGATATATATATATATATATATATATATATATATATATATATATATATATATATATATATATATATATATATATATATATATAGAGAGAGAGAGAGGAGAGAGTGTCTCTAACACATTCAGTATTTAGACAAAATTAGACCACAACTTCAGTAACACCAAGTGCATTCAGCTGAAGAACAAAAGAAACAATCCGTGTATAGCTCAACGATACAGACACACACACACACACACACACACACACACACACACAGAGGACAAAAATCGGGTGTAGAAGAGATACATTGTTTCCAGGAGGCTTGTGTGTGTGTGTGTGTATGTTGTGTGTGTGTGTGTGTGTGTGTGTGTGTGTGTGTGTGTGTGTGTGTGTGTGTGTGTGTGTGTGTGTGTGTGTGTGTGTGTGTGTGTGTGTGTGTGTGTGTGTGTGTGTGTGTGTGTGTGTGTGTGTGTGTGTGTGTGTGTGTGTGTGTATGGTGTGTGTGTGTGTGTGTGTGTGTGTGTGTGTGTGTTGTGTGTGTGTGTGTGTGTGTGTGTGTGTGTGTGTGTGTGTATGTGTGTGTGTGTGTGTATGTGTGTGTGTGTGTGTGTGTGTGTGTGTGTGTGTGTGTGTGTGTGTGTGTGTGTGTGTGTGTGTGTGTGTGTGTGTGTGTGTGTGTGTGTGTGTGTGTGTATGTGTGTGTGTGTGTGTGTGTGTGTGTGTGTGTGTATGTGTGTGTGTGTGTGTGTGTGTCAAAGGCCAAAAGAATCGCTAGAGGCAGTGCGGATAAAACCTACGTGATATTAACTCTTCGTAAACAATGTGGCACTGTAGGCGTGGCACTGTAGGCGTGGCACTGTAGTCTTGGACCTCGCACTGCAACTCCACCACCCTCAATACTGTAATTAAAATCAGGTACACCCATTCACAGTTGGGTCGAGCTTGGGGTGCCTCGGGCGTGAACTAGCAAACCCCTTTTGAGGGCTTTATCCTCTTGCCTACCCAGTTATTCTCTTCACTTATCTCCAATTCCCTCATTTATTCCTGTCTTCACTTCTTCCCCTTCAACGATTTATTTTGGAGTAGGTGCATCAGTATCTCTATGCCTGTCTTACCTGACTTATCTCACATCCCTTTACATATTTCACGGTTACTCTCAAACTCTCTCTCTCACTTTCACACATTTTGCCAAGTTTTTCTTTTTTTCTTTCTCACGCACGTTCATGTCACCTGTCAGCTTCAATCATCCATCCTTCTTATCTCTCTTTCTCTCTCTCTTTTTAAAGCTATCTCTCTCTTTCACTCACACGTATACACTTTCTTTCTCTTTCCTTCCCACAACAGTTCTCTCTCTCTCTCTCTCTCACCTTCTCTCTTCCCACTCACCCCACTCCACTACCCACTCACCCCACTCCACTACCCACTCTTACCATCCCTGCTCGCCATTCCCAAGAAATTTTAACCCTCATCACCTCCACCCACCTGTCCCCTGCACCGCTCACCTGTCAGGTATCGGTCATTAGTACGTTCCTTGTTTTTCCCAGGTGTTAATGAGATGGTGGAGAGGGCCCGTGTTTGATTCAGCCTGTGGCCTCTCTCAGGTTGTGTGTGTGTGTGTGTGTGTGTGTGTGTGTGTGTGTGTGTGTGTGTGTGTCTGTCTGTCTGTGTTAAACTATACACACAACTATCAATAACTTTCACTCTCAAGTAACCTTTAATAAACACCTAATCATAAAGGTCTCTTATCTGTGGCGGCTGGACGTAATAAAGATATACACAAGATGATTGGGTATACTTAGACAGGTAATTTAATACGTGAGGTAGGGATCAGGTTAATGAGCTGGGGTTTTCTGTGATGAAGGTGTGTTGTGATCTGTTCCTTGAAGGTGATGTAGAGTAGAGTAAAGACAGACAGACAG